TGTTAATTGCAGGTTGCAGCCTGCTAAGAATGCCCACAGGCAGATTTTCTTTTCATGTAGTTTTAAGTCTCCACCCTCAAATATAAAACAGGGGTTATCCTGAAAGGATGACTTAGAAGGTTGATGCATTTTGCATTTACACTGGACTTTTGCATTTTCCCCATTCCTGCATAATTAAAATATTTTTTGTGAATTTGTCTATTTGGGTAAAAATTTTGATAAAAAAACCTCTAAAATTTAACACTAAATCAGATTACTTAATTTTGAATTTCATGGTTTGTTTCTACTTTCTGTTTGTGCCTTTTGACCTATATCATTTTAGTTTGCACTGATATTTAGTATTTCATAATTATATTAATGACTGAAACACTTTGATAATAAAAATTTTCCATGCCTTCTACGCTTCTAAATCAATGCCCTAGAGTTTCCATTCTGCAAAGCTGTTAAGGAAAATAAACTCTTGGCTCTGAGTTTCAAAAGAAGTTTTAAACTTTGTATAAAAACACAGCTTTGTTTAAAAAAACACTTTGCAATAGCCCATTTCTGCCTGGACGGGGAATGTTATGTTGATTTAATGGGTTACTTTTCCAATCACTGAATTAGAGAGAAAATTTTTGGCTTCATTCTGAATCATTGGTGCTCAGACCACCACCAAGAAAGGGTTGGGCTCATCATTGACCAGGGTATTTAAATCAAGGTTGGTGCTTTCTTAAACAAATGAGCATTAATTTGAATAGGATTTGTAGGGCTTGATTTGGCTCAACTGGATCAGAGTACAGTTCCTGCTGCTTCAGGAGCTGATGGCTTAAGTTTTCTGCTTTGCTCATTTGGGCTCATGGACATCCCTTCTGGCTTTGAGCAACCTGAAGACATCCCAAGTGCCCAGTGTGGCCATGGAATCATGGATCACAGCAATCACATACTGCTGGGGGATGGTTAGATGGTTTATCTTCCTCAGATCCTGAAGACCAACATCTTTTTTATGTATTTTCTGGTTGCATGTGTTGCTGCCATCTGGTTAGTGAACATTTGCCTGCAGTCAGGGGAAGCTGGGACAGCAATGTGGGAGCAAAGGGAGTCCGAGGAAGCTGTTTGTGTCACTTGGCAGATGCACAGCCCTTCACTCCAGCATCTCTGGGAAGGCGCTGAGATCCTCACCATAACCATCCAATCCACACAGACATTGTCGTTCCATGGTGCAGAACAGGTAGACAACACCATGCCGGGTACCATGGGCAAATATCACATAGCTGCACAGAGAAAATGTATTGATGGCTTCCGTGGCTGGAAGGTAGCAGGACCTGGTGCTGCCAGCTTTTCCAGCAGCATTTTTGGATGCTGTTATCTGTTTTGACCTTGCAGAACACTGATAACTGTTTCTGTGTTGTTCTCCGGACTATGTGGGGCTCTCAGCTAGGGCAGAGGTTATTTTGAACTACGTGGTTCCCATCTCACAGGTGGACACTTCCATGTGCAGCTGCCTCTGCTGTTCGATCTCCTGTAGATAGGTGGAAAATGTGATGTGTTTTGAGATTCTTGACTGTTTTTCCAGGATTCCTGCATTTTAGAGATGGTAAAGCTGCAGGTGTCTGTAATTGCACAGACCTCAATAGCTGATCACTGCCTGATCACCTTTCCTGTTCGACAGTCATTCTTTCCCCGTGGTCTTCAAATACCTTCTGCTCTTCTGCATTGTTTATTATGGGGAAGACTGTCTTCTGGGCACAACTGGAGCTGCTTTTTTACCACTTTAATATAAGGATTGCTGCTTCTCTAAAGCCCTTGCTTCTGTTTATGGAGGGTATTTTCTGATCTTTGTGCTTTGGCAAGGGGAGAGGTAAACGAGCCCTGGCTTTGTCTGGTGATTCAGTTTTGAGCCTGTGTGCCAGGGGCCGACTTCAGTAAGCATTGCTATCGCAGAAGGTATGGATTAAAAACCAAAGGTTACTCAACTTATTCTTAAATAAGCACACCAAATGCATCTACTTCATTATCATAGCTGTGTTCATAGCAGCGACGGCGATATCCAACATGCAACATCATTGGAATAACCTAATGGAGATTGTGGGCAGCTCCTATTCCTAGGAAATATTTGCTGGGTTGTCAACGTGCTAAGCATATGATTAATGCTATTTTTTTATTTTTTGTGTGCATTGGATGAATGGAATGCTTAGTTAAAGGAAATTGTAGTAATTTAGGGGAGATTTTTCCCCTAAAGCAAAAGGTAACTTAGATATCCCAGTTACATTGCAGGGAAGGAAACGGGATATGTCATCCTTCCCGGAGCCCATCTGGCTTGGTTGGCTGGTTGTTATCTCCGTGATTCCAGCTGAGACATTCCAATGTAACCGGCTTGCAGGGTGCTCTCTGGACGGGTCCTGCACTGCTCTGAGGGCAGCCAGCCCTCAGGGCTTGAAGCTGATGGACTTGATCTCTAGTAAATGCAAATCTAACTGGCTTACTTGGCTGCATATCTGACACAGGCAAAACAAAGCCCTGCCTGAGGCACAGGTCTCACCTTTAACTGTTTACATGTCTCCAATGATCACCCTGGAATCCTGACTTTTTTTCCTCCTCTATTCTCCCTTATATGCAGGGAAAATGCATTAGAAATGAACATTTATGTGGCCAGAAACAGAATGCATCCCAGGAGCTGCCAGTATAGTTTTACTTTTAGTCATCTTGCATTATGCGTAGAGAAAATGCCACAGTAAGTGACTCCGCAAGGTTACAACATACACTTAATCCTAATAAGGAGGGAGAGGCTGTGGCTAACAGGTTGTTTTTCATCTCATTTTATTTCTAAACAAGCTGATAATCAGTTCTGAATCATGAGTCTGGAGGAAAACCTGGTGCTATTGTCAGGCCCAGCAGTGTTTACAAGAATGTTTTAATTTCTATCGGATCTGGTGACCTGCTGATACTTGAGTTATCCAGAAACCAACCTGGAATCAAGCTGTCTCACTTAATAAATAATTTCAAATTCATGACACAGGCTGCAATGGTCAAAAAGGTTTGTTTAGTTCATATCCAATTCAAATAAGCTTGGAAAGATTCTTGACTGGTCTATCAGTTTGCCCTCAGGGTGGGTGAGTTTTGCGGTGTTTCCTACCGAGTTGGCCTGAAGCCTGGTATGTCTTTTGGTGATTTGAATTTGTTTGGATGCAGAAGTCCCAGGTGACCCTTCCTTGGTTGCTGAGCCTGCATCATGCCAGGATGGCACCGTTCTGCTTGCTTCTCATTCCAAAGACATGGCGTAGTGGCATTCTTCCAGCTTCTAAACTAGAAGTCTCCTGGAAGACCTGCTACACAGGGTGACAAAATGTAATCTAATCTTGGATCCTGCCTTTCAAACACTGCATCATACACTGTACCACACACTTCTGGTTCCTCTTGTACCTCTTATTTATAGCTGGATTGAGTTACATCCAAGAGCACTTGATGAAAATGTTCTAATTGAGGATAGAAGGCACATATTGATCTCAGCGTGACTCCAAAGGAAGACCAGCCCTAGAGAACAGTTAAAGGGAAGGGAGCTATCAACCATCAAGTCAACACCTTTGTCCATGTACATGCAGGGTCCTTGGGCCAATGTAGCCTTCGTGTCCCTAGTGGGTACCTGGGCAATGCCACTTTGGTGTGTGGAAGGAGAGTTCTTCAGGAAAATGTCTTTAATTCGTTGTTTGTGAAATTCCTCCTCCCAGGGTAGTTTCCTTATAAGACCTTCCCTTTCTGGGCCCATCATGTGCGTGGAAGGTGTGTTTAGAAGCTGAAATTTCCACTTTCTTTAACCCTCTGGTGCCTTTCCTACGGGAGGCCACCTCCTCCCACGGCTGGACCACAATACAGGAGAAAGAAGGAGAGGCAGGAAGGAGAAATGGGAAGGATGGGTGAAGGTCCTGCTCCCCTGAGCTGGGCAGTGATTATGTGGGGAGATGCAGGGAGGCAGAGGATGGTTGTGGCATTAGTTTGGGTAGGCAGGTGACTTGCAGGAGGAGGTTGGCGCGGTGGCGTGCGGTTGGTGCCAGCTCTGCTGGGGGCCACGAGAGTGGCACCGGTGGAAGGGGGAGTGCAGTGGGTGAAGAGAGGGGCAACAGGGGCTCGCGGGATGTGAGGTCCTGGGGTGCGTGGCGGGGATGTGGGTGCCCGGCGAGGTGCACGGGGTGTTTCCCGAGGAAGTGGCTCGGGTGGCCGCGGGGGGGGGCACGGAGCCAGGGGAAGT